ATCGACTTTTAATAATTATATTATACCATCAGATTTTTGCTCGATGTTGAGATAAAGAAAAAATAGGAGTAAGTGGCACATGAAAGTGAAAAACATCCTTTAAGTTTATGTATCATGGTGAAAAATTTAGAGAATTAGAAAAATAAATGTAAGTTTTGATTCATTTGATATTTGGTATATTAGAAAGATAAAGTATAATGAATATTTTATTTAAGTTGAATATCTGAATAAAATAAGTATAATGCCTCTGATTATGATCCGTTAGCATCTCTGAAATAGTTGAAGTTGTTACAAAAAATAATAGTATTGCATCGATTTGGCCAAGAATGACGTTCATATTATTATTATTATTTTTAGTTTTCTGAGTGAAAGTTGGGAGGTTTAAATAAAAATATTTTTCAATTAAATTTGTGTTTTTTTAAGAGTATTATACTAATTATCATTAAAATAAAAAAATAAATATTAAATATTAATTAAAAATCTACATGCATATGCATCACAAAAAACCACGTGTCATTTTTAGGATAAAATTATTTGTCATTGTAATTTTAAGTTATTGGTATTATTAAGTGCATAATACGTTTTATTAGTTATTTTTAAGTATAAAATAATCACATTTTAAATTATCCGCACAACGCGCGGGCATGTATACTACTTAATTTGAATACATGCCATAAATTTAGGAGATTCAAAACAAAATAGGAATATTTGTTTTCCTTTTTTACTATAATCAGTTAAAAGTATTTCAAAAACCAGATTTTCTTCTTTTGTTCAAACTTTTCTCTCTCCTCGAATTTTTTTTTCCTGTAATTGGCGTCATTCACTACTAGTTTCAAATAGTTTTGATTCAATAATTTTCATTTTTTTGTAATGGACGGTTTCTTATTGATATTAATAAAACATGGTGGTAGATGAAATCCTTCTGGTTAGTATTCATTGCGATTTATTATTTGTATTTTTATACTAATGAAACGTAAAAAATAATAATTTAAGAACAATGAAACTGAAAATAATTTTTTCTGATTTTGCTTGTGTATAATTTATTTAAATTGTGATGTTTTTTGTATGAACATTCGTTTCTTCATATTACATAATAATTCTTGTGAACTCGACTAAATGTTGGTATGAATTTTTCGTATATTGTTTTTGTAATTTGTATACTGTTTTTTGTAATTAGTATTCGATGCGATTTATTTTTTGTATTTTAATATTACTAAAACTATGGGAAAAAAATTAAGAATAATGAAACTGAAAATTATGTATGCTGGTATTCAGATTTTGTTTGTGTATAATAGTTTTAGTTATATAGATTTTGGTATGAACATTAATTATTCTTTTTGTATGTTTCTAGTTTAAAAAATTACATAACTTTTTTTGAAATTGGTATACTGGTTATACCATGTTGGTACGATTTTGGCATTATATTGAAATGAATTTCGTATACTATTTATTTAATAAATAACAATTAATTGTTAAAAGTATTATTAATTTTTGGTATGATTCTGGTATAAAAATTGACGTAAATTTTGTATGAAATTGGTATAACAATAAGATCAAATTTGTATGAAAATTTATAGTTTTTATGGCGTGAATCTCGTATGATTCAATTTCTTTTTTTGGCATTATATTGGTTGGAATTGTGCATAGTAGTGGGATGAAATTGGTATACTGTTTATTTAATAAAAGATAATTACTAGTTATAAATTGTATGATTTTGTATTCTTTTTTGCATGAATCTGGTATGAATCAATGTTTACTTTTGGCATGAAATAGGTATAAAAAGTATGCATAAAAATGGTATGAAATTCTCATACTAATATAACATATGTATAAAAGTTACTTGTACTTTTGTATCATGTAATACATACACAATAATTTATGATGAACCGGAAAAATATTCAATTCAAAACGTGTCGAATCATAAATTATTGTTGTCTGGTTCAAAAAGAATTGTAGGAAGACCACAACTTGAACGTTTGAAAGGGCTTGCTGATGTGAAGTTCAAAATGTCTAAGGTTACGTGCAGTACATGTCGTCGAGTGGGACACAACAAGAAGACATGTTCAAATTACCCTTCTGGAAAAAAAAAAGACATAATTTATTTTTATTTAGATTTGGTTGTTTTATTGTGACAAAGTCATGTTTTTTTTTTTTTGTCTTTTAAGTTAATAAATTATAATTTCATAACATTTATTGTGTGTACTAGCCAACCTACAACTAGTTAATGTTGTATCCAATTTGTATACTTTTGGTATCAGACTGATATTTCATTGGAAAAATTGAAAAAAAACATGGAATTGAGATTTCAAACTAATTAGCCAACCTAAAACTAGTTAATGTTGTACTCAATTAGCATACATTTGGTATCTAACTGATATCCAATTGAAAAAACACGTAATTGAGATTTCAACTAAATTAGTCAGCCTTTCTAGTTAATTTTGTACTCAATTGGCATACATTTGGTATCGAACTGATATCCCATTGGAAAATTTGAAAAATCAACATATAATTGAGATTTCAACTGAATTAGTTTGCCTAAAACAAGTTAATATTGTATCCAATTGGTATACATTTGGTATCTAACTGATATCCCATCGGAAAAATTGAAAAATCAACATGTAATTGAGATTCAACCAAATTAGATAACCTAAACAAGTTAATGTTGTATCCAATTGGTATCCATTTGATATCCAACAGATATCCCACTTGAAAATGGAAAAAACAAAATGTAATTGATATTTTCAATTGGTATCCAACTAAAAAATTTAAGTCTATTTGTACCAAATTGGTATTCAGCTGAATTTACAACATATAATTAAGATTTCGACTGAGTAAGTCAATCTAAACTAATTAACATTGTATCCAATTGGTATCCATTTTGAAAACCTAATTGTAACAATGTATACAATTGGTATCTAAATAGAATTTTAAGATATTTAATTCTTATTATTTTGTATATGCAATTTTTTCAAACTAAAATCTCAATCTAAAATAGGTTGCTGCTGATATCCAATTTGTATCCAGTTGGTATCTAGGTTGAAAAATTATGACTAATACTACATGAAATTGGTATCCAACTGGTGGCCAACTTTTATCTATCTGGGTTTAATTAAGCCTTGCAATGTATATTTATATACTCAACATAAAACATACTCTTGATTTTCAAATATCATGAACGAAAATCAATAAAATTTGTTTAATACTGCATAGTAACAATAATGCATAGTATATATTATTACCAAAAACTGAAGCAAAAAATAAACAACATCCTAAAATCATGAAACTCTAAGCCAATCATCTATCTGACAATTGATCTTTTTGGTCTTGGTGTAGAATAATTGGTAGTATCTAGATCATGTTCTTTTGCTATGCTCGGTACATCAATTTTCCTAGCAACAATACCAGTTACTTCACTCTCACTAATTGTGTCATCAACGTTCTTACTTCTTCCATACTGCCATGGGATTGTGGCGTACCTTTGATGATATTTTACATCAATGTCAATGTGACCCATATAAAAAACGTCATTGCTAATACATTCATCAAATAAACATGTGTACATGCCAGGATCATTGAAAAAATATTGAAAAAAAATATTTTGAAAAAGAAAGTGAATTAATTATTATGAAAAATTACAATAATTTAGGAATACATACTTTGATATTGGATTTTGTTAATGTACATCATTGATAAATTCAACTTTGAGAGGATCGAGTTGAGCGGCAGTTTTCATTTGAATGGAGAAGAAGAACAATGGAGAAGTTGGAAGAGAAAGAAAAATTGGTGTGGATGGAAAGAGAATGTGGGTATGTGGAAGTGGGGTAGGGTGTGGCATGTGATAAGGTAAAAGAAATCCCTTGAAAGGTGTAATTGATAATTATGAACTTATTCTCTCTCATAATTTTCTCTTTCTCTCACCTATTAACATTATATAAATTAATTAATAAAATATAATTAATTAATTTATAAATTAAAACTGATCTGTTAATGAATGTGACAGTAACAAAAGAACAAGAATCAAGGTAAAATTCCTAAAAAAAGTGTAAGAGATAATTATGGGAGATTCTTTATTTATATCATTTAATAATAAAAATAAAATTATAAAATACTAATTATTTAATAAAGTAAAATTAAATTGATTTATAAATAAAAAGTGATATGTTATAATTTATAATTAAACTGTTATAAGCAATAATATTTTAAAAGTAGATTTAAAATCTGTAATATTGCCCCTTAAATATATATGTGGGGTGATTTTTCCTTTTAAAAAAATGAGATATTTGACCAAGGTTTTGAAAAACAGTAATTTTTGTCCAAAAGTACTTTTCTTTTTTTGAAAAAAAAATATAAAAATATTTTTTACAATAAAAAAAACTTTTGAAAAATACACAATTAAAATAACATAATATTTATAATTGATTCTACAATCAAAGCTCCAAAAATTGTGTATTGTGCTCTTTACTCTAAAAACTTCCCATTCAATTTTATGTGAAGGTAATAACAACCAAATTGAAGGAATGTGAACACAAAGTTAGATATGAATATCGGTGAGAAAATAAATTTTTTTTTGCTTATCTGTTTTCATACCATTTAAGAATTAAAAAGAAAAAGTCATAAATCTTTTACTTACGTACTTCAAAGTGTGACGATATGATTAATAGTAACATATCTCTCTCTCTATATATATATGAATTCAAAATTTAACTAAGTAAATGTATATTATCACGATACACCCTTTTCGTTTATGACAAACATATTAGGCTTATTATGGAAAATAAATTCAATTTGGGTGTATTTGGTTGGAAGAACAATATTTAATTTTCATGGAATTTTTTTTCTTTAAAATAAGTGGGGGTTTAAACTTATATTTTAGTGTTTAGTAAGTATGAAAAGAAGTTATTATCTCATGAGAACTTATATGTAGTTTAGAAATATACTATGAAGGTGAAATGAAGTGGCGAGGGAGGGCTTGGGGTGGAGGGGGTGGAATAGTCATTGGGTGGATGGGGATGAGGCAATAAATTTAGAATGTGACTTATGAAACTTGTTCTTCCTATTTTCATCAGAAAATTAATTTTTCTCATTTTTAAAGAACTTGTTTTCTTGAGAAACTATTTTCTAAAACATTTTGATCAACCAAATACGAAAAATTGAATGAAAAGTATTTTCATCCATACCTAACACACCGAAATGTTTATAAGTTTGTGTCGAAGAACTCTTGGGTAACAAACGCGGACCAATACCAAATATATATCGGGTGTACATAATTTGAATTTTCCAAATACCAAATCAAATCAATTGTGTCAAATTTTTAATCTATAATCCAAATTAAATCAACATGTCGATTTTTTTCACCCTCGGATGGGGTTTCGATAAAGTCTTCATACAAAACATAAAACTTATACTTGAAATATTTCTTTAATCTTGGTAAGATACAACTATATATCTAACGTGTTTCTTAATTTTAGAAAAAAAATAAAATATAAATTAGATAAGTGATGATATTGTACTAAAATATTCCGCAAAAAATGATAATGAAATTGTACAAAACAAAAATCGCAAATTAATAATCTATGATAAAAATAATCATAATTTAAAAGTACTTAGTAAAGCACAGCTAAAAAGTATTAGAAGGTGTTTGGATTGGCTTAAAAGTTGGTCAAATCTACTTTTAAGTCATTTTTTGGCTTCTGAAAGTGTTTGACAAATATAAAAAAATAACTTAAAATAAGTTGGGAAGTGTTTGGCAAGGTAAAAAATGACTTAAAATAAGTCAAAAACCAAAAGTAGGTCTCCCCCTACTTTTTATATTTTGACTTAAAAGTCATTTCAGTTTGACTTTTTATTTTTTACTTAAAAACTACTTTTTTAAGTTAATCCAAATGGACTCTTAATTACATAACTAAACACTAAAGATAGAAGTTAATTTATGTATTTTCTTGTTTGAATTATTTAATGCAAAATTAACGAATAAATATCTAATATTATTATCATTTCTGGTGTTGAAATTATTTCTAGCATTAATAGTGATCCGATTTTGATTTGAGCTTTGAATTTATAACATGCATCTATAAGGTATACGAACTTAGAAAAATTACATATCTACACATTCTTATTTACCATATTTTCTATTATTCCCTATAATTTTAAGATATTACAAAAATCCCTCTTTTTTCTCCAAAACCAAACTCATCCGGATACATTACTGATCAACTCCCAAAGCCACGCTTCCCTTTTCCTATTTTCACTCCCACAATCTTATCAATTACTTCCTTCATTACAATTTGAATTTCAAAATCTCTCTCTCCAATCAATTCATGAAAAAAACGCCCAAAGTGGGGGGAGGGGGATGTCAAGTTGTTGGTGGCGCCGATAAGAATTTTGGGTCATGATCCATGGGTGATGCCATTGTTGAAAGTGAAAAAAAGTTACGGGAGTTGATATAGAGCAAAGTAGAAAATGTAGAAGAATTTCTTCACTATTTTTTTTTAAATTTTAGCTCATCAGATTGCTTATTTTTTTAATCTTTTGTTGTTCAACTTTTTTTTTTGATACAAAAAAAAGGGGAGTAGAACATGTTGATAAACACCCTTCTCTACCCAAGGTTCAGATTTTTAATGTATCTAGTTGATTTTGATTCATAAACTTATGTATAATGCCTTCGTTTCAACTTTTGGATACATTAAATTAGCCTTTGTTAGTGTTATCACTATTCTGATGCATCACTGCTACAATAGCTTTTGTTTTATGCAATGTATCATGTTCATATTTAAGGTATTGATACATAACCTTAATGTTGTTGAATCTTCGATTAGTGTTTATCCTTCTCAATATAAATGTATTTGATACATAAACACTACCTAATGTATCATTTATATGTATCATGCTCTACAATGTACCAAATCAGTTGTGTGTTATGTATCTGCACTCTTTAATGTATGTTCAGTCTTATCCAACTTAGAAGGCTATGTATATGTATATATTAGGGAAAAAAGTCTGAAAAATACTTTAACTTTGGCCGAAATTACTGTTACGATACCAAACTTTATGGAGGACATTTTACCTCCCTGCACTATTTAATAGTGTATTTTAAAGGTATATATGTGCCTACGTGAACTTCATAAATATTTCATCATTTTAAATAGTAATGTGTCCACGTGGGCACATATATACCTTTAAAATACACTATTAAATAGTACAGAGGGGGTAAAAGGTCTTTTCCAAAGTTTGATATCGTAACAACAATTTTGGACCAAAGTTGAAGTATTTTTCAGACCATTTTCCCTATATATTACCCAATAATAATCTTGATACATATTAATGACTAGTGTGTATAACACATATCTGATACACATTTATGACCATGATACATTTATACAAATTAATGCTAAATATCATTCTTTGTCAATGATACATTTATACAAATCAATGCTAAATATCATTCTTTGGCAATGATACATTCATACAAATTAATGCTAAATACCATTCTTTGGCAATGATACATTCATACAAACTAATACTACATGTATCTAATACTTAATATCTATCACATAATAATATTTTGATATAAAGCCAAATATTTTACAAGCAATCTTTACTTCTCTAATGTATCTGTAGGATTGTAGTACTTAACAATTTACTAAATATTTTAGGAATAGTAATGTATCATGAGTAATATATTCATTTCGAAAAAACAAATCAAAAAAACATTGGTCATGATACATTCATACAAATTAACACTACATGTATCTGATACGTAATGACTATCACACGATAATGTATCGATCTAAAACTGAACACCTTATGGGCAACCTTTACTACTTTAATGTATCAGGTAGGATTACAGTACTTAACAATTTACTAAATATTTTAAAATAACTATGTATCATGAGTAATATATCCATCTCGAGATCAAAAATAAAAAAATAGGCTACACAACATCTCTCCAACTTTTTTGTGTGTTGTATCAATGCATAGTAGATACATTGCAGATTCAGGGTCATGTTTCTTCACCTCCATGTACATACTAACGAAGATATTCATGATGTATCTTCTCAAAATTTTCAACAATGATCTTCCATGAACTGGAAAGTGTTTTGAATCTCAATTTTTTTTTGATGATTTTGAATCAAAATTGAAAGGATCTTCGATGAACTAGGAGAAAAATTCTAAATCTAAAAAAAAACCCGACAATTTTGGATAAAAATTGAGAGCATCTTAGATGAGTTCCCTTCTACGATGCATCTGATTTCCAAGTTTTTCCTAATCTCATCGATCTCCGACTCAACTGCAATGACGGATTTGAGATTGACAAATGAAATCGTTTGTCCAACAATAATTCCATCACTTTTGTAACCTTCATAACTCACCTCGCTTACCCAAATTCATGAATGTCTCAACAAAATTGATATATTCTTCTTGCATCAGCCACTTTGGTTGAGTAATTTGAAGTTTTCATGATTTTAGATTGATGGAGAAGATGAAAAATTGAATTTTGGATTTTGTGAAGCTATTGCAGATTGGAAGTGATTGATATCAATCAATTTTGCATGAATCGGGGGAATTAAAATTAATTTTACGTTAATGTTTCATATTAAGCGCAACAGACAAATTTTGTAATGTATTCAGATGATTCTTATGTATTTGAATGGCTGATATTTTAAGAATTTTTTGTAAAATAAAAAAGAGTAGGGATAAGATGTAATTTAAGTCTTACACTATAAAATTTATGTAAGTTATACAAAAATTTATTACAACTTTTAAAATTTAAAATAATATGTTAAAAAGTAAAAATTAAGAAAAAGATTTATGAAATATTTAGATTTAGAGTCAAATAGAAATATTGGTTGATGCTAGAGATATTGTTAAG